TGATGATGAATCTGATCCAATAGAGCAACTTTAGGATGCGGTAAACGTCATGGATGCAGCAGCTGTCAGGGATGTTTCCAGCAGTGTGCTGAATCTGTGCCATAAAGTATAAAGATGGTTCTGAAGCATTAGCAAGGTGTTGCCTAATGTGTTCCCACAGCCAGTGCTTTAGTTCAGTTGTAGTTAACTGTATAACCTTCCTCCGATAGTTCAGTGACTCCAGCTGAAATGTTAAACGGGCCTTGCAGTAATAAACTGTTTGAGATCGTTCTCTTCCTGCTTTTCATCATTTTATCCCTGCCGGCAAGATTTCTGTTCAAAATATCATAAACAATTATTTTTCTCTCTTCTCCTTTCAAAGCTGATAGTCATTTCATTGGAGCGATGGTTGGTGTGTGTGCGCCTGTTTAGAGATGAGGGTTCGCGTTCAGGTGTGAGTGTCACGGCCAGACCGATGATGGCTTGTAGCCAGGCTGGCTGAGAGGGAGGACACACAGCAGGAAGGACAGAGTGACATAGCCACAGGACAGGCCAGCGAGAGCTATGAGAGCAGACACACACACACACGCTTAAATAAGGCGATTTAAATGACTCATACCCAAACAAACACTGCACTCGCATGAAATGACAAACGTGCTGATTCAAAGACGTTTCCATTTCTATCTGCAATGAAACATGCTTGTGCACACACACATGTGAACACACGCGCGCACACACTCTGACTGCTGGTATCTTAAGGTCAGCGCGGAGCGCCGCTCTGTAATCAGAGATGTGAACGACGTCCACATCACAAAATCGCGGCTTCTCAAAATAGTTCTTCCCTTTCATCTCTCCCCTCTCCGACGGGCTCCCTCCCTCTCACCCAAAGCGAGCCCAGCATCGATGTGACGAAACACCCATGTCATCTCTTGTGACACAGCGTGCCACGCGCACGCACGCACGCACGCTTCACATACAACTCGCGCAGCGTGACCACTTTCTTTGCTCCTATCTAAATCGAAGCAAAGTCTGTGATGTGATGACTCTTGATTGGTGCAAGCTGGGTCACTTTGATCTGTCTACCGTTTATCGTCGCGTTCAGCTGCCATCCTGTGACAGAAGCAGAACATTCAAACACTTTAACCTCTCAGGCTGCAGCTCACCCAAATTATAATGCCACATGCTCCTCAATGCTTGCTTTAAAATTCCAGTTTAGGCTGATTTAGTGTAAATCCAGCAGCTGCTGCTAATTTTACCCCCTCTGTTCGTTTGTCTCTGCCCTAAAAAAACAGATTATATAGCTTGAAATTGATGCTGTTGCCCCTCTGCCATCAGGAGAGCAGAGGAAATAGCTCTTAGTACTGTTTCCTACAGTAGCACCGTATGCACTTGTGTTTACAGAGCAGACCTGAGCTCGGTGAGCCTGTGCTGTGTTACAGCGCCGTATGTGTGTGTTTGTCGGCATGTTCAGACAGGAGCTGCTTTGCTCCGACTCGTTTACATTCCTGAGACAAACAGCAGAAAAGGAGCTGGCATTTGTTTCTCTCGTCTCTTTCTCTTCATCTCTGCCAGCGTTCTCTCTTTCTCTCGCTAATTATTTCGGCTCTAAAGACACACGTGCGCGATGTAAAAACACAGGTGATCGTGGGCTTAAGCACACATCAGGTGAGGAGTTGGGCGAACCCTTCAGCCGGGTACGCGGGGGCACAGATGGACGTCACGCCGACAGACACACTGCAGAGAGAGCGTGGGGGCAAAATACAAAGTGTGTAAGAGATAAAGCCACTGGTACTTATCGCCTTCTCAGCTGCTTTATCAGTTACGAGGTAGTCAGCAGAGCTTGTGTTGTTGCTCAAGGTTAGGCGGGGCTCGGGGTTACGCAAATGTGCCGTACATATCATTTCACGTTACGGTCACTCTTATTAAGAGCTTGTCTAAAGGTCCTAAAACCATTCCAATGCGTCCCACATCACTGATCATTAATAATCATCAATAAACATGATAAACACATGGCTGGCAGTAGGCCTCATCATACTGGAACTGTACAGTGTGTTCACTTTGGTCTTTAAAGGCTCATTAATGTCATCTAAAATACAACAAGAAGCAGCCAGAGAGCACAAACATCCGCCCAGGCAGCTCGCTCTCTGGGCACTGTGTACTTTTAAGGGAATAGTAGAGTATCTTCCATATATTCATGTGCATACAGTACACATGTAGCATTCACTCCATCGGTTACACATTTAGTAATTGTACATTTATTGAAACGGTTCTAATCTGTTACTGTTATGTGTCTAAAAAAAGTCATAATAAAGTAACACGATCCCTGTGTGACATTCCCTGTAAGCATGTTGTCAGTGCAACATTTAAATAACTCAGGTCCTGACCTTCAGATCAGTCTGTTCACCATAAAGGAGGGTCAGAGGTCAAATCTGACATTTGAAATCTTACTTTTTATATTTTGACCATACAGGGAGTGCAGAATTATTAGGCAAATGAGTATTTTGTCCACATCATCCTCTTCATGCATGTTGTCTTACTCCAAGCTGTATAGGCTCGAAAGCCTACTACCAATTAAGCATATTAGGTGATGTGCATCTCTGTAATGAGAAGGGGTGTGGTCTAATGACATCAACACCCTATATCAGGTGTGCATAATTATTAGGCAACGTCCTTTCCTTTGGCAAAATGGGTCAAAAGAAGGACTTGACAGGCTCAGAAAAGTCAAAAATAGTGAGATATCTTGCAGAGGGATGCAGCAGTCTCAAAATTGCAAAGCTTCTGAAGCGTGATCATCGAACAATCAAGCGTTTCATTCAAAATAGTCAACAGGGTCGCAAGAAGCGTGTGGAAAAACCGAGGCGCAAAAATAACTGCCCATGAACTGAGAAAAGTCAAGCGTGCAGCTGCCAAGATGCCACTTGCCACCAGTTTGGCCATATTTCAGAGCTGCAACATCACTGGAGTGCCCAAAAGCACAAGGTGTGCAATACTCAGAGACATGGCCAAGGTAAGAAAGGCTGAAAGACGACCACCACTGAACAAGACACACAAGCTGAAACGTCAAGAACAGGCCAAGAAATATCTCAAGACTGGTTTTTCTAAGGTCTTATGGACTGATGAAACGAGAGTGAGTCTTGATGGGCCAGATGGATGGGCCCGTGGCTGGATTGGTAAAGGGCAGAGACCTCCAGTCCAACTCAGACGCCAGCAAGGTGGAGGTGGAGTACTGGTTTGGGCTGGTATCATCAAAGATGAGCTTGTGGGGCCTTTTCGGGTTGAGGATGGAGTCAAGCTCAACTCCCAGTCCTACTACCAGTTTCTGGAAGACACCTTCAAGCAGTGGTACAGGAAGAAGTCTGCATCCTTCAAGAAAAACATGATTTTCATGCAGGACAATGCTCCATCACACGCGTCCAAGTACTCCACAGCGTGGCTGGCAAGAAAGGGTATAAAAGAAGAAAAACTAATGACATGGCCTCCTTGTTCACCTGATCTGAACCCCATTGAGAACCTGTGGTCCATCATCAAATGTGAGATTTACAAGGAGGGAAAACAGTACACCTCTCTGAACAGTGTCTGGGAGGCTGTGGTTGCTGCTGCACGCAATGTTGATGGTGAACAGATCAAACCACTGACAGAATCCATGGATGGCAGGCTTTTGAGTGTCCTTGCAAAGAAAGGTGGCTATATTGGTCGCTGATTTGTTTTTGTTTTGTTTTTGAATGTCAGAAATGTATATTTGTGAATGTGGAGATGTTATATTGGTTTCACTGGTAAAAATAAATAATTGAAATGGGTATATATTTGTTTTTTGTTAAGTTGCCTAATAATTATGCACAGTAATAGTCACCTGCACACACAGATATCCCCCTAAAATAGCTAAAGCTAAAAACAAACTAAAAACTACTTCCAAAAACATTCAGCTTTGATATTAATGAGTTTTTTGGGTTCATTGAGAACATGGTTGTTGTTCAATAATAAAATTATCCCTCAAAAATACAACTTGCCTAATAATTCTGCACTCCCTGTATGCACACGTTCTAAGGCTTTTTGTCAGTTTTCATGACAAAATCATGAAGTTGACCTTGAAGGCCTCGATGGACACGAGCCAGGTTGTAAACACGACCCCGCTCTACGCCCCCCACAAAGTTTGATCACATGGCATTCAAAACTCTTCAAGCGATCGCGTTCGTGGACACAGTGAAAACCAGAAACAGAACCACCCGAGTGGAAGTCATAAAGGACTGTGATATTTGTTTATGGACTTAATGATAAGATCCGTAATGAGTATCGGCTGTCGTTCGTTAGTTTGCACAGTTTGCACTTGTGTGGGTTGACTGTGTGCATCGCGATATCTTGGCTGTTCTTGGGCTAATCATCGGGGCTCGGACGGTATCGGGAAAATAACTTTGGATGATTTATTGCCCTGAGTCTGAGCTGTGGGCTTGATTGAGGCCAGACGTTCTGGGCGCGGTGGTTGAACCGTGCAGATGGTTGCGCCGTTTGGTGACGGCCAACGCTCTTGCTGCCTCTGAGTTTGTCTTAACCGTCTAAGCTGTCCATGAAGCCCAGAAGCTGTTTAACTGATCTTAAATCCCCTGCAGCTTACTCCTCCTTATCGCCTCTTTTTTCTTCCCCCCCCTTTTCGTCTCCTCTCATTTCACATACCCACTACTCACTTATTCTCCCTCGGTGTCTGCCCGTCGTTGCTTTCTCTCTCATCAGATGAATTGCTGTAGCTAAAATGGAAACTTGTGTCCTCCTGCTTATCCCTCAGCTGTCATCTCCACTTTTCAGTACACCCCATCAGGTCATAGTTATCAGATTACCTTGAACCAATTATAACAACAATCAATGGAATAGTCGCTGGCCATGTTGCTGTTGCAGCGAGGTTACAGTAAGGCTGACGAGCCGTTCTTAAACTATTTCTGAAAGGAATTTGGTCCCTGTTTCTTCTGATAAATGCAACTTATTGTTCTTTCCTCCCTCCTTTAATCATCCCTCATTCTCTCTCTTTCCAGACGAATACAAGAAGGGAGTGGAGGAGGTGAAGTACATGAGAGGGGATGAAAACCGAGTGAATGCACGCAACCAGGAGAACCTGGTGAGACACACAAACACGCACACACCATCCGCTGACAGCCTGTCATCGGCTCACAGACTCGCAGACCTTTTCCTGACAGTCCATCAGATGAGGCGAACAGACTGCTGTTTGTGTCCAGAGGCGGCTCCATCAGCCTGACCAGCCTGCACGCACACACACATTGTCTTAGTGCAAAAAACACACACAAAACTTGCCTCGCATGCAGGTAGAAACAACATGAGGCGTGTGTGGAATGTGTGGGCTGATCGCTCGGTTGGTTTCACTCCCTCCTGCAAAACTTTTAGGTCTTCAGTGGTGCAAAGACGTACTATATCGTGACTGGGAAAGTCATTCTGCTTCAGAAATTTGCAGAACAGCTTCCCTGTTACATAATAATGTTTGGATGCATTATTCCTCAAAAGGTGAAACTTGCAAAAACAGGTTTTTATCCTCTCCAGATCACTAACTGACTGAAAAGAATGAGCGTCATGTAAATTAGGTCTGCCTTCATATTCAGGTTCACGTTATTTTATTTTACCTGTAGGTAGTTTTGGTCTGCGGTCATGAGTCATACTGTCTCACATGCGCATTTTCAGTACAGACACACACAACAGATAAGGACTGTATTCAATGCAGTTTTATTTATATAGCGCCAAATGAGTTGTTGTAAGACACAAGCTGCGTTTTTACATAGCCCGGTCCGTCTGCCGTTTGCGGTCTGACCAGCATCCGTGTAGCTGCTTGCTCTCACAAAGTAATCCTCACTCAGAGACTCAGAGGTGGAAAATGCATGATGCGGAAACACAGCAGGAAACGCATGCATGGTGATCAACCTTCATCAGAGCCGATAATCAGTTTTATTAGGCATACATACATTATGCCTCTTTCCCGTGTCCCACGCCCGTCACGCAGTGCCGTCTGGGTGAGGATTGTAATTTGATAATCCAGGTTTGATGTGACATTTGCTTCCAGTGATGTAGCTGTTTGTTTTAAACGTATCTATCAGCTGATAATGAAAACTAATGGTGTGCATGTGCGTGCGTTTTCAGGAGAAGAGTAATGTCCAGCACAAGGGCAAACAGCAGAAAGAGGTTCCTGCACCAAACATCAAATCCAAGTAAGTCATGAGTAGCGGGTTTAATCTCGTAAACATGCAGTGGGAATAAATAATAACATCTATTCTTTATGGGCAACTTCGGTAATTTGAATGACAAATGTCAAAGGTACAGTTTGCTCACATTACGTAATATATTTTCTTTTTGTTTTGTGACAGAGGAAGCCACAGTTTCTCTTTCTGTTTCCACGCTGATTTCGTCTGTTTTCAACGTTCAAAATGAACTGTTGAGCCGGAGGTTCTTAAACTGTGGCGGGGGCCCCCTCTCAGAGCCATGCAGCCAGTAGAAAGGGGACCTAGAAAAATGTGAAATAATCTTGCGAATGAAAAATAAGCCGAAGTTATCAGGCTGAACGTTATTTCACTCGAATTCAAGCCGGAGCCTTTTTATTCTGACGAGTTCTAATGAAAACAAACAGAAATTATTACTGAAGCGCGTCTGAATCTGGCTGAACTGATGCGTTCATAAGCGGCTGCTTCCATTAAGTTGTCACCTCAGTATGTTAATGTTATGACGTGAAGCGAGCGATATTTTGTGTCTGGCTTTTGTAATCCTGCCTCGTGGCCGGCCCCCGCTGCGTGCATGTTGATGAGCCTCTGCGTGCGTACATCACGGCTGCTGCCGGCTGCAGTCTTTAGTCTTTTGCTGCATTAATTCTTTATTAAATGATCTTTTAAAATCCTCCAAACAGAACTGTTTCTCACACTGCGGTGAGGGATGTGTGTGCGTGTCTGTGCTGTATATGTGTGTGGGGGGGTTGTAATGGAAAATTCTCATGATGTATTTGTTGCCTCCCCCCTCCTCCTCATCTCCATCCTCCAACTTCCTCTCCCCCCCTCTCTAACTTTTCCATTTGTGTCTGTGTCTCTCAGCATTCACACGTCAGAAAGCCAGCAGGAATTTTTCAGGATGCTGGATGAGAAGATTGAGAAGGTGAGGAGGCCGGAAGTGGGGTTTGTTGGGGAGGGTTGCAGTGAAGGAGGGGCAGGGCATTTAAAATAACAGCTGGATCCTAAACCATTAAACATCTCCCTCACTGAGGGGGAGGAACAGGTGATCGCCACGGTGATGAGCGCTTGCTGCTCTTAGTCTGCCTCTTGAATTACGCTGCAAGCTCATAAACAGTCAGAAGCACCCAAAGTGAAATGAGTAATCCTCGATTCAGCTTCGCTATGACGGATTAAAATTTTCACCTCGGCCTTGAAACGTGGATGAGGAAATGTAGCTACAGCGTGAAGATAGTAAAATGTTGGTGTATTCGATATATTTCAAACATCTGGAGTTGATTCCAGGAGTTGCGAATAAAAGTTGCATCCTGGGACCTGTTTTGGTTGCAGCTGAAATCGGAGAGTACGTCCATGTAGGTTTTTGGTCACCGTGGTCTTTTTCAAAGGCGTTCCTTCTCATCCATCAGACCCCAAGGAGCCTCTTGGATGAGAGGTGGAACATTTTTTTAAATAACGTAAAGAAGTGCAGTCATCTTCGCTTTTAAACTGTTATGAAACTTGGAGAAGTTTGAATGTTCCCTGCAAATTATGAGTGACCAAATCACGGGGAGGTGCAACTGCCAGCAACCGCTCTGCAACCGGTCTCTAGGCCTGTGTGACGGGGACCTAAAATCAGACTGGATGTTGCCTCCAAACAGTCACAGCTATTATGGTCTGTGACTGCAGTGTGTGTAGTTAAAGCCGTGTTCCAGCCATGCCACAGATTTAATGCGATTCTATAAATCATCTCTGTGACTTGTTTTACGTCAACAGAGAGCTACACAAATGAGAATGACGGCGAATGGCGAATGATGGTGGTCTGTGTAAATGAGGTGGTGTAACAGGTGTCGGCTCTTCTCATAGTCATGCTTTTGTTTGCAGGGACGAGACTACTGTTCGGAGGAGGAGGAGGAGGAAGATGGGACATAGCACAGAGGCCCCCAGGAGTCACCCCCACAGAGAGCCTCACCGTGTGTGTGTGTGTGTGTGTGTGTGTGTGTGTGTGTGTGTGTGTGTGTGTGCGTGTGCCTGAGAGAGCGCTAAATCAGTGTTTGACCAATGGGGTGTTGACAGGACACTTTATGTTGGTATGATTTTGTGAGTTGTTGAACATGTGGCAAAGATAATACTTTAAATACAAGCGAAAGAGTGGGGGATGCTTGAGACAGAGAGAGAGAATGGCATAAAGAAAACTTTCTTCAGAGACTATACACAGCCCTCCTTACTTAGCGCCTCACCCCTTCAGGCCCCGGGTGGACAGATGGAGGTGGCGAGGGATGAAGTGACAGGCAGATGAAAGGAGGGAGGGATGGAGGATGACGCAGTGACGGATGTGCACACATCGCGTGAACTCGTCTCTGACGGGTTGGGCACGGCCGTTTCCTCGAGCTGGATAAAGGCGGCTTCGCAGGCCTCCATCTGTCCTCCTGTCTGTCTGTCTGTCTGTCTGTCTATATTTAACCTCTGCAATTGGACAAAAGAACTTCCCAAATACGGAGGCCCAGGAAGGAGGAACATGTTGGTGGGTGTCTCGAGATGCACGAGTGGAGAAGAAAGAGCGCAGGGAAGGAGATATCTAACACTACCAGGATCCACACTGAACTCTTTGGCCTGCCTGGCTACAGTCAGGCTGGCCTGGGCCGCGGCAGCCTGAGAGAACGGGTGAGGGAGGAAGAGGGAAGGCGGAGAAAGGGGGGAATATTTTGGGGATATTTTAATAAGAGAGAATATGGAGCGAGCTGGTGATTTGAAACTCAACTCCTCCTGCCTTGAAGTCAAGGACCCTGTTTTTGTTTTTGTTTTTTATTCTGTTCCAGCCAATCATTCACTCAAGCCCTTCCCTTCCATGATGTTCTTTTCTTCAGTTTGTTTTACTCTTGGCTTCCATCGTAGTGTATCCTCATCAAAGCCATTATCGCCCTCACCGCCACAGCAATCAGAGTGAAGCTGCATAATTCACCGCATCTGTGTCTCAACCCAATCCGTCCTCCACCTTTTACCAGAACCTGGCAGAGCCGTGCTAACGTGCACGTGCAGTCTATTCTTGTACATATGGTAGCACACACGCATTCCAGCACACGTTCGGCGTATCGATATGAGTCACTCAAACACATTAATGTGTTCTCCTCATTTCACCAGCAGACTGTCATGTGCATCAGTCAGAGGTGTTCCATGTAGCTCCACATTTCTGCTTTGGCTGAGTATTCACACACACGCGCGCGCACACACACACACACACTGGCACTGAAGCAGCAAACTGGGCTGAGCGTAAGGGGAGGATGCATGGTTGCCGTGGAGACACAGACCTAATCACTTTTTTTTCTTTTTCTTTGATTTGTTTTGTTTTGTTGCTGTTGTCATCTTTACTGGATACTTACTGTTGTATTATTTTAAATACTTTTTTCTATTAAAAATAGAAAGCGCAGAAGCTCTGATCCTGTGTGTACCATGTTAATGTGCGCGTGCGCGCCCCCGCTACTCGGAGCAGAGTAATGGAGCGCCATGATGCCGGCAGTGCACTGAAGAGGGAGAAGTCAGTCTATTTTTCTGTGGTCATGCTGCCTGAAGCCATGCAGTCAGAGCACATTCATTCATAACTGCAGCGCTGTGCTCTGCCACCTGCTGGCACAGACTCAGTACTGCAGTCTGCTCTGCAGGCGTTCTAATAAATACATATAAACATATTTTGGCCATGATCAACAACTTCGTGGGCACTCACATTTTTTTTTCTAGGTCAAAATAAATCAGTTAGATGTCAGCAATTCTCCAATGAGTATTCAAATCACGGCTCTTGAAATTATTTATCTATATGAATGTGAGCCCTCCGGGTGCATGAGCTAATTCAGCCCAACTGTCAAGCGGAGGTCAGCGTGACATCTCTCAAGCACAAAGATTATTCAAAGAGCTTCAGGAGGCAACGAAATCCTGCTTAAAACAACACGATCTACAAGCTTAATTGTAAAACATGCAGGGGGACACGACCTCGTCTCACATTTAAATCATATAAATATAAAATATATTTAAATCATATGCTCGTATATCCCCTCAGACTTGATGTAGGAGTGTGCTGCAGCAGGCACACAGCTGAATGAATATCATTCATGCTGGTAAAGATGAACAGGGGTCTGTTGAGGCTGTGGTGTTGGCCTTTACTTCGCTGAAATTTTACCTGGAATCCTTTTTGATAAAAATTGTTGGGTGGAGTGGGTGTCCGTTTTTAAGCTCTCTGAAGGATGGTTTGATGGGGAAAATGTGATATCAGCACTAAAGCGATGGAGAAGTAGTGGGTGGAGGTGGAGAGGCAGCCTACGTGGAGGTGAGCACAGCTAAACAGGTGAGTGTCAGCTGTTTCTGTGCTGAAAATAACAGTGACGATACACAAATGCAGCTGTTGGTGGGTTACTCTATGCTGTTGCTCACCTTGGCTTGTAATCACCTGATTCTAAGACCCGGTTAGGGAAACTTCTGCCAGAGATAGCGGGCCTGCTTTCTTCTTCACATGCCTGTAAACCCCAGAGTGCTCCTGAGCTCGGCCTAATGTGCACACTTGGGACTGCGCGTATGATGCCTTGAGTGGGTAACAGTGGTAGAGCCGATCTCCTGGTTATGAAGGGAACATTTGGTGGCCCCGCTGTGTCTTTAATAGCTGTCTCTCTGTAACACACACGAACTCCTCCTTTACCTTGCATGACTCACTTGCAGGGGCGCATGAGGTTACAATCAGCAGCCGCTGAGCACATCGGCAGCGTGAAAGGCTCCCTGTGGGACGGCGCTCGCGGCAAGGCTCTCCCACACAGAGAAATAAAAGTGTTGGAGGCAGACACGGAGAGGGGGAGAGCGGGAGCGAGAAATTAAAATGAGGGAGTCGGGGAGGTGAGAGTGTAGGAGGGAGAGAGTGAGGAGGAGACGGATGTTGCCCGTTAACCTCAGACAGGAATATGGGCAAGAAAATGTTCTTTCCACCCTGACGTAAGTACCAATAAAGAGCCCACTCCTCCCTGCTTCCAGTGCGTGTGTGTGTGTGTGTGTGTGTGTGTGTGTGTGTGTGTGTGTGTGTGTGTGTGTGTGTGTGTGTGTGTGTGTGTGAACAGCCCAAAGTGTGAAAGTCTTTTTAAGGTACAACATGTTCTTGGCTTTCTGAGTGATTTAAATCCAGATTCTTAAAAAATATTTGAGCTAAATTCACTTTCATGAATTAAAAGTGGAACGACACTGCAGTGACTTTAAACTCCCCCTAAAAGCCTTAAAACTTTAGCACCTCCTGAGAAACACCAATAACTGAGATTTAAACCCACTAATTAATCTGAGAGTGACTCCAGGTCTGCTTGTGTTGAGTTTTCTTGGTTGGATGATTTATGTTTTAATCCAGATTACAGATGTAGACTTAAAAATTCCACAAATTGTAAAACAAATGTTCAGATTTGGTCATCCTGGGATTATTAGCATCAAAGGAAAATAAACTGACAGGCAGAAATAAGATACTCTGATATTTGGATCGCCCGAAGGTGTCTGAGGAAGGCTAGATAGCTTTTAGAAGATCTATATCGATTAATTTTTAATAGGACAGAGAGCAGAGTGTAAAAAAGAATCAATTTAAATCATACGTTTTAAGACTGCCGCACTCCAACGGGCCTTAAATTTGAGATACTGTTATAGGGCAGAATAATTTTTATGTATTATAAAAATTTAACCTGGCTTAACTTCAGTTTTAACCACGTGTGTAGACAGTACTGCATTTTGGATAGAAAATAATCACCTCACACATGCAGGTGAACATGTCTACGCCTGCGTATGACAGCCACATGAACGTATAAATATTCCTTGCATGTGGGAGCATGGTGCATGTTTGTGTGTGTGTGTGTACATGCAGACGTTGCCCACGTAGACAGTATGAGTCAGCTGTGAGAGGCAAACGGATGGCTTCCTGCCTGGATGCCCAGCAGGCCTCTGCTCAGTGTCTTAACTCTCTCCAGCACTTCCTGGCTGCCTAATACCCACTGTGGAGTAATCCTCTCTGTGAGCTCTAAACATACCTAAACACAATGTCAACCCCTGAACCTCCTCGTTCTCATTTTGTTTGGAGAAGCATACAGTTTCCATCCATCTACAGCGCGACTTAATGATATGTCCGTGTCTTTTAACCAGGCGTATGTAAAACCTCTAAGGATCCATGCTATGGATTACCCTGGAGAAGATGCAGCTCTCACGAGGGGGAGACCAAGGCTTACGAAAGGTGGAATTAGATGCATTTGCATTCACGCTGCACACCCACAAGAACTGACCTACTTAAATCTCAGGAAGCTAATTGTTGAGCGCATACACGCCCATGAGCAATTATGCAACCGCTTGGATGCGTCTACTTCATGTCAACATCACGATCTGATGATGGCTCAAGTGTGATGAAAAAGCACATTTTTTGCAAATTCCATGCATCACCGAAGTGACCAGCGGTGCAGGAAGGAGTGAAATGGATAGCCACACAGCCTGATTGGCTTCTGGTTCTGCACTTGTATTGTATTTTGCTGCAGTCTGCCAAATTCCCATCAGCTGAGTAAGCAGCCAGCGCTGGAGGAAAGACTTCAGCCTTGAGTCTAGTGGTCCTGAGGAGGCTGTGTTTCAGGAATAGGAGCTGTTTTTAGTTGACAAGTGTGGGAAAAATTTGACCATTGGAAGTGGGGATGAGTGGTTTAGTCTCCATCTGAAGTCCTTCAAGATAAGACTGTATATGTGTGAGAAAGAGAAATCTAATTCAGCAAGGATAAACCGGCAGCACCATCTGCTGGTTTGGGATTTCCCCATGATGCTGACACATGCCCGTGCACACCCTGAAAAGGGCTCTCTGCATGATCAGGCACTATCTATTAGAGGTGTACATCACCCAGACAGCCTGGGTGGACGCCCACCTATGTACGAGTCCACACATATAAATCAGCTCGCTGGCATTGCAACTAGAGTGGATTGCAACCTCTCCTCTCCTGAAATCACTTGCTTACAGTGAGCCATAGCAAAACAGCTTTAAAAGACTGCTGTGTGCAGCTGTCGTTATATGTGCGGGGTTGGTAATGTTTCACACGACTATGCCTTTACTCTTGTATTTTCCATTTGAATCTACAGCAAAATAAAAGTAAGCATAACCTTTGCTTTGTTGTCAAAGGAAGCGCAATCCTTTCTTCAGCTGGTTTTATGAGCGTCCTGGTAGAGAAAATAGCAGTACATATTTATCCTCCAGCTTTCTCTGACACGGTTTTCTAGTTTTTCAGTTAGGAAGGATTTACCCTTCTATTTCAAGCCAGAGCAGAGAAAGCACGGTTATTTAAGCAACCACAGTTTAACAAACCCAGAACCTTGGCAGCTTTTAAAACACATTTCTTCCAAACATGAGGGGGAAAAAAAAGACAGTTCAGCTCTATCTGTCATCCACAGATCAGTTACAGCAAAGACAAATGGCTTCACGTCAAGTACGCAACCAAAATTACAAAGTAGATGTTTTGCTGTGACAGAAGAGCGAATTCAAGCCAGCGGTGCCTAAAACTGACGCTGGTCCAGCAGGGCGAGGTTGTTCTCCGAGAGCTGCAGAGAAAGTGCAGAGTACAGTGACTAACACGGGTTTATGAGCATTTTCTTCTTTTTTAGGCTGAAACCTGAAGACTCCCGGTCCAGATTGGCCAGAATTTGGACCTAAATGTTGATGCTGTTTATGTGGCCCTGAGAAAGCTGCCATCATCCTCATCTCTGACCTTTTTTAAAACAGCTGTGTGTAGCAATAAAAAGGACAGGTCCAAAATCTGTAAGGGTGGGGTGTCAGGACTGTAATTCGGAATCGCTCTTCATGTCTTTGGGAAAGCACTAGAGGGAGCTGAGGCATCACGCAGACAGAGAGCATCCAGCAGCAGACAACATGGCAGAATACTCTCATTACCAGGTGGCAGAGATCCTAGCTTACATAAACACAACTGTGTCAAGACAGGGACAGCAGTAAGCCGGCTTTGTCTGTCTGTCTGTGTCTGTCTGCTATAATTAAAACAGGTTACCCGAGGGTTACTGTAATCATATAAGAGCAGAAGATATAATATCATAATAGGATGTAGAGATGGCTGTAGAGAGGCTGACTTTTGGAGTGCAAGGCGAAGCATTTTAGACACACTAAGCAAGTGGACTGTGACTTTCTGCCTCTGTATCTGAAATGTTCTCATATGAGTTTGACACATTTTCCTCATGTGATTGGATAGTTAGACACTTTGCTTTTATTCAAAGAAAAAAGGCCTCCAGTGTGGCTTTAAACACTTTTAAATGTCATCACAGACTTCAGTTTTAGACCTGCCATTTAACTTGTGTCTCCTCTTTGATTGGAGGAAACGGAATCTTTGTCTGATGATAATGTGTTTTACATTATTTTCCATTGTATGTATTGTTGTTTTTGGTTGGTTTGTCTTCT